CCCCAAAACCCCAAAACCCCAAAACCCCAAAACCCCAAAACCCCAAAACCCCAATACATGGTGTTTAAATTGAACTAATGTAGTGCTTAATTATCTAAATAGCAGTTTAAAGAACTGCACAAGTTCATCAAAGTCGTAGTTATTCAGAATTTGTTTCAATTTTGGGATTTGACCTGAAACATCATGAATTCCTTTTATAATAGCAATGTCATTGTAAAGATCAGCAATGATTCCCCAAAGAAAGTGAAGCTTTCTTGGCTGAGACTCAAAGCTTTTCTTAATCTTTTCAGCATTTCCAAGGATTTCTTTGTACTCGTCAGATAAGAAATTCAAATCTTCTTCTTGCATTTGGAGCTCTTTTAGCCCATCAATGAGTTGGACATTCCTCGCCAACTTATACTGCTCCTCAAGCTTAGGATGGATCAAAGAGAGATTTGTTTCCACGCTCTCATCAGCTATTTCAGAGCTGATTTCGTATTGCTTTCCCTTACTGTTGGCTTCGCTGGCAATGCTCTTCCTCAAAATAGTGAGTGCCGAGAGATTGTTAGAAGAAATTACACATTTTTCTCTCATAATTGCAATCTTGAGGTAAGTGCCCACAAAAGTTGATTTATAATACAGCACAAATTGCTCTTGATCATATACTTTTGGTACATTTGGTAAGCTACCAGAGATCCAGCTCAGGACATCCTTTTGAGTAAAAGTTCCTGTAAATGTAATGCTACTCAACTCCAAATCTTCTGTGTTTGGTAGATTAGAGATTTTCTCATGGAGACCCAGTGGTAAAATTGAAATGTCAAGCCTCTTACATATCTTGGATGTCTCCTTATGAGGGATTATGAATGCGTTTATAGACCCATGGAGCCCCTCAGATGCTCTGACTTTCAGCACAATATTATTGGTAGGCTCGTTCATTCTAAAAGTTGCAATGAATTGACCGGAATCATTGTCTGAGAAAGAAACCACTGCAGGAATTTCATCTTCATCAAGTATGTCAATATTTATGTTTGATTGTATCATTAGGATGCTCATTTCGGTTTGGGATTCTATCATAAGCTGATAGGCAGCTTCTGAAGGAACCAGGATAAAATTATACCTGGCTTTGAAACCAACAATTCCAGCACCTGTAAAAGTGTTGGTATCCTTTACTTTCTTTTGTTCGTATTTGTCAATAAGTTTCTTCTTTGTCTTTTCAAGCTTGTTTACTTTACTTTTCTGCTCTTCCTCATTTTTCTGATCTACAATAATATCTTCGGCATTTGAATCTAATAGTCCTGCTACTTTTCCTGAAAAGAGGGAAACAACGATTTCTTTGTAATCGGTTCTTGAGATGTTTCCAATTCCGATACCGACAATACTCTCTTGGAAGTTGAGTCAATATTTTTGGTATGGCTTTTCGCCTTCATTGAAGCTGTAAATTTCAAGGGATCCATCCTCTCTTGCAATGATAATGTCATTGTCATCACCGTCATCTATTAGCTTTCCGGAGTATATTTTATTGATTGGTGCACTGCTAGTTAGAGTTTCGTTTACGTCCCATAAAATCAATGGTGAGTCCCTTTGCATGTCTATCATACCAAAAGACCCATTTTTAAGCCCATACGCGATGTTCGGAGTCGAACTCCCTGAGATTTTGGTACTGTCATGGATCGAAAGAACTGGAGAATTAAAATTCTGGGAATAATATATATCACTCTCATTCAAAACTCTGACACTTGAGTCATCACAAGCTAGGACTGAGTTGAAGACCAGGCTTCCTGATACATTAGCTACCAACATATCATAGATCTTATCATCAGAGAGATAATAAAAGTTGTCCTCAATGCCAGACTTGGTGCCTTTATACGAATTAAGTATATAATCGCCTGAACTCCAAAGATTCGAACCATCTACGTACAAATTCTGTATGTCCTCTGTATGGTTGGTATCAAACTTAAAGAACTCTTTCCCTTTCTTATTAATACCTCTAATAGAATGTCCAGATGCACAGAAGCTGTTGATCTTATTTGTTGCTCTCTGAGATAGCTATAGTGGATATTTCCTTATCCATTTGTTCAGTCTTCCATGTTTGGATTAAGTTGCCCTTCTTGAACTCAAACATCTGCAGAGTATTGGAGTCATCCCCGACCACAAACCTCTGGGTTTTCTTCTTAGGCTCTAGTGGTAATAGCGCAAAAGCATCTTTGTGAATAGCTCCAAGCTGTAGGTACGTTTTTAGCTCAAGATCGTATTTTCTCATATTTAATTTTTATAAGTTCTAGATGAAATAATGTATTTGGGGTTTTGGGGTTTTGGGGTTTTGGGG